TATTTCTCCCTCTTTGGATAAAATGGTCTGTCTGTCTGTCTAAATCACTTTAACGCACGAGAAAACTCGTTACATTGTTTTCTCTATTAGGTGACTTCTTTCTGAGTTGAGTTTAATTCGAGTTCTTCACGAAGATAATTTAGAGACGAAAAAACGAATTTATTTGTTTCAGAACTAGTTTAAATTATCGGAAAGCAATTTAAAAGAGATACCAGCCCCAGCAATTAAGGTGTTTTTTTCCCGCTGTCTCTCTCTTTACAAGCAGGAATTTCCCTCTGTAATGCAGCACAATGAAGTGGACCTTCTATAAAACCACAGTTCCAAATGATTTTGGTTTTTAGTGGAGGTGGTGGTCTAAGAGAGGGGAAGCTCGGTACCGATGTTTATTTAGGAACTCATTTAAAAAAAAAAAATTTTTTTTTTAGATCTCGTGAATGAAAAGTTTCGTTATCCTTATAATAACATTAGCTTTAGAAGAGTATGAAGATTGTTATAAGTATTTTAATTTATTGTATTCTACAAAGCAGTGGTCTCAAGCGATCCGCAGGTTGCATGCTGCCCTCGGAGCAATTTTATGCCCACGAAGACATTTGAAGTACGAATTTGCTTCAAAGATTATCATTTATTTAAATTTCGATTATATATTATTTTAGTATTTCTAGCATATATTTATTTAAGTATTTCGAGTATTCATTATTTAAGTATTTCGAGTATAAATAATTTAAGTATTTCAAGTTCTTGAATTTCGAGTGTACATTATTTAAGTATTTCGCGTTCTTGAATTTCGAGTGTACATTATTTAAGTATTTCGAGACCAGATTATTTAAGTATTTCGAGTATAAATTAAGTATTTCGAGTTCTTGAATTTCGAATATACATTATTTAAGTATTTTGAATTCTTGAATTTCGAGTGTACATTATTTAATTGAATTTCGAATGTACATTGAATTTCTTCTTGCGCGATATTATTATTGCTTATGTATGCTTCGATAAATATTTAGCAAGAGCAATTTAAAATTTATTTCATTTTTTAAAAATTTTGTTAATAAAAAATTTGATTTTGTTAAAAGAAAACTATGGCCCATCAGCAGTGTTAAAGGCGCGTATTGAGGGGTCCAGGTTCGAGTTTCGGCGCATCTATCATAATTTTAGATTTCTGTCTGAAATCTAAACTGTGAAGAAAGTACAATTCGCCATTGGAACTCTGCATATATCGAGTGTATGCTAATACTGAATGAATAACAAATTCTGTTGTACTTAGTATTTAATTATCTTCAATTGTATATAACCAGAAAAGAAATAAAATGATTTAAAATAAAAAATACTGCTAATATGATAATGCAATGTAGAGTGTATTAACCTCAATAACTTCTGAATTTTTCAAATAAAATATATTACTTTAATTTACAGTAAATAAATTTAGAGTATATTTAATAAGGAATGCTTACTTTTTACAGATACATAACAGGTACACTGAGGTGGAAATCGTCTTTAACATTTGTCTGTTTTGATAGAAAAACGATAAGTATTTAAGATTGTGAGGAAATTCACAAAAATTCTTGCCTGTATCCTTCCACCATTAAATGCAAATTATAATCATTCTCAAGAGAACAATGTAATACGAGCATTTTTAGAGAAAAAAAGAGCAATAATAGTTACATTATTAGTGATACGCGCATCAAAACGAAAAACAGATATGTATGTCTTTTCAGGCGTAAGAGAATTAACTTTTAAAAACACACGTCTGAATTCTACATGGAAGAAAATTTTCACAAAAATTTTAAGATTGGATATCGATCTTTTTTTTTCTGCGACGGATTTATTGAAGCACGCAATTTATTTATTGTTTACTTCGAAAGCGACATGAACAATAAATAAAGTTTGAAATTTATATGTATATAAAAGGAAGTGTCTGTCTATGTGTGTGTCTTTTGCTCGTGCTGCGCGTAAGCTAACAGACCCAGGGCAACGAAATTTGGTGCATAGGTGCATCTAAACAAGAGCCACTGCACTTCAAAGCGTTTTTTCAAAATTCGAATCAGATTGTTTCTTTATGTTTTTTGATGAAATTGCATCAAATCGATCATTCTCTCTTGTTATGTCAGCAACTATGGCAGGCGGCCATAGTTGCTGATATTGGCACCGTTGCCACTGGGAAAAATGAGGGAGATAACTCTGTGCAGTTTTTAAATTTAAATTTTCTCTTGGATAATATACGTTTATCCAGAGAAGACAACAGTTTTTGTTTAATTTATTTATTAGGATAATTGATTTATAATATGGGCTATTACTTATTTCATTGTAATTTTGTTTTTATATAAAATACATTTTTATTGAAATTTATGTTTTTTTTAGTCCATAAGGACAATTTGTGAAGAAGGACCATTCATTTCGTTTTGGCATTTTGCGTGGATTCACTACAAGCGTTGTTTCGCTTTTTAAATTGTTGGCACCAAATATTATCGCCCTATATTATATTTAAAGAAATTAAATAATGAAGAATCTGCATCAATGTATGTATGCTTCTCGCATTGGGATAAAGCCATCCAATTTTGATGATCGTAATCCTTCTGCGAATATGGGCATCTGGAAGCCCAAATTTGGAATTTGGAATTTGTTTTATTATTGATTTCATATTTTGTAAAACGAATTGTTGATTAACAAACTCAAGAACTTCAAAGCGAGCCATGACGATGTTGTACAGAAAAAACATTTTTATCTCCAACGTGCGAGACTGCGTATTGGCAATTCTAAAGATACGCTCATTTAAAAATTATTTTGCGATATTGCTGTTGAACTGAATTTGATGGTTTATGTGTGTAAGGATTATGTTAATTTTATTAACAGTTACATTTCCTTTCCTATCGATTCTTAACTTCAACTTACCACTTCCGGCCAGAATCACATCTGAATACATAATGAGAAAGAGCGGTATTTAACCGCGAAGTTTTTCGGTCTTAGAGAGAGATACCAGGTATTCTGGCTGCACGCGTCCGCCTTTTTAGGCTACTCTCTCGTAAGCTATTGTCACGCTCGGCCGTACATTAGGTCCTTCATAGCTTCGCAGTCTATTAACGTTAAAGGGCCAACTCGGTTAGAATCTTGCTAGCTTCGGCTCTATCTCTTTAGTTAAGATTAGGTTAGTATTATTCCTAGTCTTTTAAGTTCAAGCCCAAGTGTCGGCTTTATTGTACACTCCAAGACGGAGTTTTGTTCAACTTTAGTTGGAATAATAAAGGGTTATTTTACCCTTCTATCTTGTTGTTTCCTGTCACACGAATTCAAGCGATTATTCGCTTCTCAGTTCTTAAGATTCTTCACTTCCAACAGTAACTTAGAATTACCCAGTGAGGAACTCTACAAGTGCGAAGAACATGATATTGTTACGTTATTTTCTTTTCTTCTGACACCAGTTGTTGCGTTTTTTAATTCCTTCACTTTCGTACGGATTCGTAGATTTTGAGTGAATGACGACGACACTTGATGAAGTATCGAAACACACTTTATTTACCAATATTAATCAGATAGCCCAAAATCACTTTTACGGTCGTCGAACTGTTATAAACACGCTGACACATTCAGCGACACAGCTTTCACGCTGTCAGGCAATAACGGTGGAGACAGCTTCACTGCAAAGCACCCGAGTACAGCTCCCGACTCTGCTTGTTCGTTCTCAGAACTCCACGTACTCTCGAGACTCTACACGCGATGCACTCGACGATACACAATAGTATAGCTCTCGACTCAGCACAGTCTACGACAAAACACGACGATGCACTCGACGACCAACTCGGCGCTAGACTTCGAGACACTCGCTCAATGACTGACTATCAGTTCTCAGATGAGGCGCACACTAACTGACTGCGGACCAGCAGGGTTTATATAGCTTTCGGTTTTTGTTCGAGAACATTCTGCGCTAAACCGGTAAGAATTCGTTCCAGAAGGTTCTCCATCCGTCCATGGCATATTGCCAATTTTGTCGCCAAATGTCACAATGGGCGATTTCTCGCCAAATGTGGCAACCCTGCCTTCCTTGCCATTTTATGGCAACCCTAAATTGCTTTGCGGGGAAGCTATCTTACCACGCCTGTACATTTCGTAACAATATTTAATAAATAAAGGTAACACACAAAACGTTAATAAAGGCGTCTTTGGACGTAATTTAAAAATTTAAAATCTGAAACTTTTCAGATTTTTTATTGTAATTTTAATTCTTTTTTTTTTTTTTTTTTAAATAAACCCAAGTTGCTAAAAAATTTCTATTTTTTTATAAACTTGTTCTGCAAAGTAAAATTCTGTGCAGTTCTTAAATTTAATGTTTGGTGTTCCCTTTAGAAATTTTTGCTGTACATTTAAAAGCTAGTCGAAGGCTGGCCGCGTAGCGAAGGCTTGGCACCTTGGACAGACTTACAGACTAACGTTTTACTTTACTTTACTTTAATAAATAAAGTAAGTCTGTCCATGGTACCAAGAATGTTAGCAGCACATTTTTTTTAAAACCAACCGCCATGATGATTTGAATATCAACTTCTGCTTGCTAATTTTTTGTGCTTTACAACTAGCGAATTGCCTTTCCAGGTAAACTTAAGAGTGTTTATTACGGTGTTCGAAAATAAAATGTTACGTAACGTTTTGTTTTTAAATTAATAGAAAATAGAATAAAAATATTTTAAACTAAAAATAAAGTAGTTTACTTAAACAAAATAGTAAGTAATATCTTTTCTGTTCGATGGGGGAGGATTTCTGAATTTTTAAACTTTTCCTCTAAAAGAGCTTTTTAGATTCCATAACTGTCAACAGAATTGAGAAGAAAATCTTAGAGAAAAATTACCTTCAAAATATAAACATAAACAACTCCTTAAATCAAAATACAGTTTCCAAACAAATTTGTCCAAATCTTAGACAATTTCTTTTCAGATGTTTTGGTGTTAGATGGAAAATTATTTAATTTACAGAGCATTGAATCATGCAAGAAAAAGAAGATGCAAGCGATAACTTACTGTAGTCTTCCGTCCGCTGCCGCAGCGCCCCCTGCTATAAGTTTGGTGATGTAGATGCTGGGATCATCACCAATGTGAGGATTGTCCACTCCGCCAGCAATACTGAAACCAAGTCCATGACCACTCTAAGGGAAGAAAAATATAAACGGAATTAATATTAAAATGCAGCAGCACTCATAAATTTACTTACTGTTTGTATAATGTTACGAATTTGGGATTATCCTTTAGTACAGCCCACCCAGATTTTTCACCAAAAAACATCGCCAAGCATAGCGATAAATGATAGGATGTGGTAACCCATGTTATTCGGCAAACGCAATGTAAACAATAGTAAATTTCTGGAATTACGGTTACAGCTAAGATTTCCAGTTAATACTGGTCAATTACATTTATTCAATTTCAATACAAATTATCGAGATATTCATTTGCTCAAAGGTAAATGCACGTGACGCTGTATTCTTACTTTTCCGGCACAGCCTTCTCTTAAAATTTGTCTCGCCTTGCATTGCACGAGGTAATACAACAATTTTAATTATTAGTCCAAAGGGGCTTTGTCTCTGAAGGACTATTGTTTTCGTTTTACGATTTTGCGTTGGTTCACTATAAATGTCCCTTTCACTTTTCAAACTGTTGCCACCCAATGCTAGAGACCTGCATTATATTTGAAGAAACTAAATAAGGAAAAATCTGCGTAAATGCACGTATGTTTCTCGCATTGAGATAAGACAACGGTACGTAGAGCCATCGAATTTTGAATGACGTAAACCTCTTACGAATATGTGCATGTGGAAACCCAAATTTGAAATTTGGAATTTGTTTTACGGTCGATTTCACGTTTTGTAAAACTTTGACGAATTTTTGATGAACAAACTGCAGGATTTGAAAGCGAGCCACGGCATCGTTGTATAGAAAAAAACCTTTTTATCTCCAGCGCACGAGACTGTGTATCGGAAATTCTAAAGATAGGCTCATTTTAAAACTATTTTGCGATACTGCTGTTGAACTGAATTTTATGGTTTCAGTGTGAAGAACGTGACATTTAATAAATAAATTTAACACAGACAATGTTAAAAAAACTCTCCTTCGGACGTAATTTAAAATCTGAAATCTTTCAGATTTTTTCCCCTTTTAAAATCGTGTATAATAGTCGTAAATTTATTTCTAGTACCCATAATTTCTGGTGAAAAACGCAGTTTCGTCGGAAAACTTGATAACCATTTTTCAAAACATGGTATTTGGCGCCCAAAAAATTCCCCAAATTTTGAAGGTGAGTTGTATTGAAGCTTGTCCGAATTTTGTATTTAGTTATATATTGTTAATAGAATTATAATTAAAACTGTTTTATTTTCCCGTGTAATGCAGGGCATGATAAATTTTAAGAGAAAGCTACGTCGAAAAAGGAAAAATACAAGAGCACGTGCATTTAACGTTGAAACAAATGGATATCTCTTTTATTTGTACTGAAATCGAATAAATGTAATTGGCTACTGTGTTAGCTGCAACCGTAATTCCATCCTCTTGTTGGTTCCTAGAAATCTCGAGAAGCAAAGAAATTACCAGAACGCTCTCGCGACCGATTGAAAGCTTTAAAAAGCCGGAGAGAAACAGCTGCTTAGTTACTGTTAATGCAATTTTAGCTTTCTCTTTGTACAGCGTTGCATTTTAAAGTGTTTTTAGTAGTTTAAAGTATAGCTACTAGTTGTATTACTTTCTATTTAACGCATTTGCCTTCTACTGATTATTAGTGCCTCATATTGTGAACATTTGTACGAATACCTCTGAGAAAAACACCAGCGTTTTGTTATGTTTCTTTTGATAAGAATAAATTTTATTAATTTTTTATCGGACTTGTTCATTCAATCTATTACAAACTAGCTTTTCAATAAATTTTATGTTATGTTTCATTAGAAGGAAATAACGCTAAAAATGTAGATTATATTTGTGAAATGCAAAGAACATTTTTAAAGGTATTACATTCCTAAGACAACAACCTCTTAAAGCGACCGATGCTTCTTAGAATATAAATAAAAAAATATGATGTGTCACCGCATGACTTCCTTGAAAGGAATATTATATTATATGCATTTTTTCTTGCATTTTATTTAAACTTTTTGGATTGAATTCAATCTACGTCGATAGCGCATAAACCACATAAGAATAAATGCACCCTTTAAAATTCACTATATTTGTTTACCAAAGCGACACTCTGGGCGCGAGCTTCACTTAGCAGCTTTACATTTCATTCATTTTATAACTCAGAATGCACAAAATTTATATCACCTCAAGAAATATCTAATCGTTGCCACACGTTCTTTTCAAATACTATAATAAATCTAAAACGATGTATAAAAGAAATTAAACAAACAAAACAAATAAAAGAAAAGTTTTTCGCAGACGATTGAGTATTTCTCATTCAATTAATTCAGTTTTCACTTCGCGGCAAGGCAAAAATACATTAAAACTCAAAATATCTATATAAAAATTGCGAAGTAAATCTTAAACACTTATTTCCTCGAATAAATTGCAGAATGGATTAAGCATGATTTAATTCGCAATAATAAAAGAAGTCGCTATCTTTACTGTTGCGAATCTTAGTTTCTCTAGATTGGCAACAAATCCACTGTTCTGCTAAGTTTCAAATGTCAACAAATATGGCCGCCATGGCAAAAATAACTAGGTTTAGGTGAATTTAAACAACTTTTAAATTGTTGATAATTCCACAACTATATGATGCAGATTTACTAAATAAATAAAAAACTTAACCGAAAGATAAGAACATCATAATTCAATCATTTTTGAAAAATGCGTAATCTACAAACATATAAGAATGAAGAAACTTATATCACTGAGCCGAATAACAGAGTGGATATATATATATTTCTTCACTTTTGGTGCGGCCGATGGCAACCAAAATGAGAGGTGCACATCTACATGTTACAGCAATCCCATATACAAAATTTCAACATTCTGAGGCTACTCGTTTTTGAGTTATGTGAGGTACGTACATACACACAGACGCCTCGAAATTCACTTCAGAATTCTTTTTAAATCAGTTTTATAATTTTTTTTGGGGGGGGGGGAAAGAGTCCTTTATTCTGCCCTTACGTACAGATGCCACTCAAAAACATCGTTAAATTGCATTCGATAGCGGTCAAAATGGATATTTGCGTTGAAATAAGCTGCCTGAAACTTTTCGCGATTACAATACTTCCTTTTTACTTCGCACAAGGAAGTAAAAATCAATATCGAGCATAAGCTTTTTATGTCGAAGTGTCTCCACAGAAATCGAAATGCAACTAAACGATCGATGTTTATCTTACGAGAGCTCAAGTGTATATCTCAAAGTTGAAAAGCCGTTAAGGTTGCAGTTAGTCGTTTAATCAGCAGATTACCTGTTCCATTCCTTTAAAGAGCAGAATCATGTCCAAAATAGGTGGTTTTCGCATTTTACCTAAGTAATGTGCACGTTAAGGTATTCGAAGTCGTTCAAGTACAAACATTTATTACTATATTTTCATACCCTCGCCCCCCCCTCACACATACACACCAACAGCACAGAAAAAAAATCACGTGGTACTGGTTTCAGAATTTCAGAAATTGTGACTGTAAATATGCCTCATATTTAACATCCTTGTCTTAATCGCTATGGAATTCAAATTGTTACCAACCATTATATTGCATTAAAAAATGAGAATAATTTTATCATGTTTTTTGAAAAAAACCATTGTCTTAATTGCAGTAACATTTTTAATCATTTAATCGATTCTTTGTATTTTTACTTGTTTACAGTATTCTACTTTGTATTGGATTTGTGATCGATTCTTTGTATTCTACTTTGGGGTTATAATCGATTCTTTTTATTCTACTTTGTATTCTACTTTACATATCGGAAACTAAATCAAAACTATCGAAACCATTGCATTTCATCAATATTTTTTTCCTTTGTAAAACCATTGTTTTGTTTTACTTTATAGAGTCATTAGGAGTTTTTGGAAGCAGGAGATGTGAAAAATGTGCGATGCCCTCGCCGGGACTTGAACCTGGACCTCTCCAATACGCGCCGAGTGTGTTTACAGTTACAACACGAAGACATGCAGAAGGGAGGAAAAAATACTTTATGTACTCCCCCTTTTAAAGAGCAACTGAGGATTAGAGGGCCCAGTCGCGAAATCCTGGTGGTGAAGAACTACCATTCACTACTTTTTAGTTCAGGCGCCATTGTGGAGTCATTAGGTTATTTTGAAGAAGTTTAAGTCATTAGGTTATATTGAAGCAGAAGACATGAAAAGTGAACAATGCCCCCCCCCGCCGGGACTCGAAACCTGGACCTCTAGAATACGCGCGGAGTGTGCTACCGTTACACCACGAAGTCATGCTAATAACATATAATTTATTCCTTAATTTGATCTGATGTTAATAGAAATATTACTAGTTTGACGTCAAGATATGTTACACTATTCAGACAATTTAATTGCATTTTATGTAAAAGGTTTTTAATATATCAGGTTCAATTACGTGAAGCTGTCTGATATGTATCCCTTTTTCCCCTTCAAAAGCTTTGTCAAACAGGGTAGCATCATCTTAAATATTATGGCCGTCTTCCGTTCGAACCATTACGATAATGCAGTGTTTCTCACCTTCGACTAAAACGTACCATCTAAACAAAACTTGAAAAGCTTTAGTACCAGTAGTACATTTTACAATGATTATTTTTCAGTTTCTCAACAGAAATATTAAAAAAAAAAATTCTTTGCCATTTGCACAACCTATTTATATTAAATTTGCACACATAAAAATATTAGATTAAAAATTAATTACTATTTTTACTACCAAAATTTAAGTTATAATTCTTTAATTCTAAAATTTAGGGCGAAATTTGGCCCTGTTTGAGAGAGATCATTATGTCTGTCTGGTATTATTTCACTTATTTTAAACCGTAAATTAGGATCAACGTTTAATTTTGTTCTGTATTTGTTATTCAGATACAAAACGGAAGAAAATCCCCATTCACACAAATAGGTTGTGCAAAAAGGCAATAAAAATTTCAGTCCTTTATTTGAAATGCCTTTAAATTTTTTTTTAGGTTCAGCCAAAAGTCAACAAGTGTTTGAAATCTTCAGTTAAA